ACGGAAAAATTTCTTAAATAAAAGGTTAATGTGACCAAAGGGGACATTATTTGGTGCTACCGCTAGCCACCCCCTACCCCTCCTTAAGGGTGAAACGGGGGGTAACTTTGGAAAGCCAAATGGAATGACCCGATTTTTTTCACAGAGTTTGGTAGTACATAAAAAAATGAATAACTTTTATTTGAAAGTTTTTTTCAATTTATCAACAGAGCTGTAATTCAAAATTTAAGAAAAAGGGGTTTCCTTGTAAAATGTATTATTTGAAACGTTTGAAAAACAAAAATTAAAATTAAATCAACATTTGTTATAAATTGTTTTCATAGCCGACTATTGTTGTTAATGTTAATTTTTGTTTTTCAAACGTTTCAAATAATACATTTTACAAGGAAACTCATTTTTCTTAAATTTTGAATTACAGCGCCATCTGTTGATAAATTGAAAAAAGTTTTAAATAAAAGTTATTTATTTTTTTATGTACTACCAAACTCTGTGAAAAAAATCGGGTCATTCCATTTGACTTTCCAAAGTTACCCCCCGTTTCACCCTTAAGGAGGGGTAGGGGGTGGCTAGCGGTAGTACCAAATAATGTCCCCTTTAGTCACATTAACCTTTTATTTAAGACATTTTTCCGTGAAATGCGTATTTCTCGAGATATTGAGCTGTCTCAAGTTAAAAGAAACACCCTGTACATATATATATGTATATCTCCATTATTCGAGCTAAACTGGTAAAACCCCTTAAAGGATTTGTTTTGGGGGTTGCCTAGATTCGATTTTTTCAGATTTGATCCCAGTTCATTTTTTGTGTTGCACAGTGTAATTAGAAGTTTTATTTTAGAAAATTAAACGCTCCACAATCAAGTTTACTTTTTATTTTATGATAAACTCGTTAAAAAGTTTTAAGACTTAAGACAAATTCATGGTAAATTTTAAGTTTTTCTTACTTTTCCAGTAAAACAATCAGACTTGACAATGTTGACAATGATCATACTTTTTTTGTAGATCATTTTTTATTTATGAGTTACTGGTTTAACCAGTATAAATACAAATATTGTCTGCAATAAAATTAATAATATTTTGAAATTAATTAGTATTTAATCAGAAATATTAAATTGTAAAATCAGTACCTAACTGTAGAACTATAAAATTACACTATTTTTTAAAAAATAAAATGATCTACCAAAGTCCTATACGTTTTCTTACAAGTCTGATGGTTTTATGGGAAAAGTAAAAAAACTTGAAATTTACTATAAATGTAATTTTAACCTTGAATAACTTTTGAACAAGTATATTTACTATAAAATAATAAGAGACCTCTTCGTAGAGCGTTTACTTTAAATATTATTTTTAAAATATGTTGTTTTCTTTTAAGTGCATTTAAGTTAAAAAGATATACAATTCCAAAGTAATTTTTTTTGTAAATGAAAAAAGAAAATCGCGATAAGGGGCCTCACAATAATAAAATTAAGAGCTAAAATTTAAACAAGCTCAATATTTAAACTTTATTTAACTATAATATGGTATATTTTTTAATCAGTCTGATTTATATATTTTTTATTAATCGCATAGGGGGCCCTCGATCGGAGGGGGCCCTGGGCTGCAGCCCATAATGCCCATCCCTAAATCCGCCCATGATGGTTAACCATGGAATACCATGGTATCCTAAAATTTAACAGCCAATTCTTATGTAAAATTGTCCCCTGAATCCGAAAATACCGTAAAAAATTATGAAAGTGGAGCAGTTTTTGAGATATAGTTAATTTTACATTTAATATGGAATTGACTATATCTCAAAAACTGCTTCACTTTCATAATTTTTTAATAATTTTACATAATAATTGGCTGTTAAATTTCGGGATACCATGGTTAACCATGGTACAAGTGAAAAAGCAGCCACTAATAACTATTAAATTAGTCATTTTTGACTAATTCATTTTTAGAGAGTAAATGAAGTGGAATGAATCATAGCAAAAATATTCGTTAATTTTGTAGAAATTCCTTTTTATAATTAAACAACATCATGCACAATTAATTAACTGTGATAAAAACAGAAATCAATCAAAAATATTTCAAACTAATCAAGTTAATTAAAAGGCCTAATTTTATGGAAATAAACCAATATTTTGTGGTTTGTATACAAGCAAATACAAATGTATACAAGGCATTTCACCTGCAGATATAAAATTTGGTTAATTTGTAAAATTTGTTTAATAAATACACTGCTATAGAGCAAATCTGATTTTTATATAAAAATCAGATTTGTTAACATGATTTTTTGTAGAAAACCAGGGTTAGTAATTATTTTAACAAAGGAAAATATTTTACCGAAAGTTTTGTAAAGGTAATATGCAATTTTGTAAGCATTTTGTTAATTTTAAAGGTTACAGATTATGTTGTTAATGTTTAACAAATTATTTCGTTGAAAAAGTACACGTGATTTCAGGAAGTCAATCAAAACATTTCCCACATTTCAACTGACTTCGGCGTCTGCAACTTATGTTTCTGCTTACTTTATTCTAAATCGCAACAAGATGGCATCACTGGTTTTCAAACTGAAATTAGGGGATACAGTGAAGTGGGTTAAAGTTACGGAATACATCAGTAAGTGTTGTAGTAGTACTAATTATTATTGTAGCTGGTACCGCTCTGGATCTCGGAATAATGACTAATCGCTGATGAGCCATCAACGGTGAGTCGGCGGTAGAGCGATCGAGAGCGGTGTGGAGCTCGCTGGAATGTTCGGGAAGGTGCTTGCGTGAATTGGGTCACGTAGGCACTAAATATATAAGGCATAGCGGAGCATGGAGCAGTTAGTCAAGCTTTGGTACTCACGGCAAAATGAATTAAATAAACGTGCAAATAAATAGACTCTTGTTCAGCAGTGATATATATATAATTAGTAGTTAAGTGATTAGTTGGTTTTATACTTTCTTATTGTTTTAATTGTAATTAAATTATAAAATAAATAGTTTAGTTCGTTAATAAACCAGTGCCTGTTTTTATTCACACTGTCGAACCGTAAAAAGTTACATTGTTACCAAATTTCTTTATAATTTGATGATTTCAGAATGGTGTTATTTAATTGTTTGTATGTTATTTTTGTGTTCATTTATGTGGGTTTGTGTTAATTTCTTATCAAAATTCTTTTCATTTAAGTTTCAAATTTCCAACATATACTTTACTGGGTCTACAAAAAGTTTTGTAGCAAACAACATATACTTTACTGGGTCTACAAAAAGTTTTGTAGCAAACAAATATAGCGACAACGGTGATATGTTATCAGCTACTCTCTACCGCATCGGCTATCCGGCACTAATGAGATCTAATAAAAAACGACTTTTAGTCTTTAAAGCTCATTTTTGCAATATTTAATTAATTTTGTAAAAAAATTACGATAAAATTCAAAATATTCTCTAAGGCCCAGTTGTATAACAGTTGGTAAACAGCTGGTTAACTCTTGATAATAATTATGTAATGATTAAGCTAACTTTCAAGTTGTATGAACATTGATTAAAATTTAATTAAGTGATCAACATATACATAATTAACAAATCGGTGAATTTGGTGTGGTTAACGCCGGGTTAGAACACGCATAACCTTATAAATGTCAACGTTTAAAAATTTTCATTATTTTTTTTGTTAGTTTGTGGTTGGCATTAAAATGGAAAAAAATTAATGGATGATGAAGATTTTTTAGAATTAGTAGACATTGTTATTTTCCTAGAAAACAGAAAATTTTGTGTTAGAAATGAGTATTTTACAAATTTTAATGAAGAAAATACAGAAACAGATTTTGTCTTTGTCAAAAAATATAACTTTTTGAAATATAGAAATTTCAGCCATAATTTCTTAGAGAACTAATACAAAATAAGCGCTTTCTTTCAGGTAAATGATTTTACTAACTTTACGATTTTTGGCAACGGGTTCATTTTGCATTCTACAATGTTTTTTTACTTTTCAACTATATAAATCAAAAGCCAAGATTCTTTTTTACCAAAGTTAGCAACCCTTTTGCCAAAATCTTTTATTTTTGACCCATAAGCTAAAGCCATTGTTTTGCATAATTTGTACAAAATTTTAAAAACTAACCAAAAACACAAACTTAACACAGCACTGACCTGCAAAAAGAAATATTATTAAAGCTATAGCTTATACTTACAATTGAATAAGAATAAGAAGAATAAGAATACTTTATTATCATCAAAAAATACATGACATGTCAAAAATACACTTAAAATAGGTAACATCTAATAATAAAACAAATATATATATAATATATATATAATATATATATATATATTATATATATATAAAGAAAATATGTAGCACAATAATTACATGTTAAAATTAATATTAAAGAATTCGTGTACACTATACAAACATTGAGTTATAAAAATTTCTTTTAAAGCATTAGCAAACATTTCACGGTTAAGACTATCAGGTAAGTGATTGTACAGTTTAGGACCCCAGTTATCCACATATCTTTGGGTTGCATTTATCCTATGAAAAGGTATTAAGAATTGTTCCCTGTTTCTTGTGTTATAATTCAATTATAATAATTGTGAGTATTGCAATTTTTTAACAATTTATTTTACATTAATGTATGCAATAAATAAATTAATACCAATATACTTACTAAAATCTTCCTAAAGAACAAACATTTTAAATGGTCAATTTGACAATTACGAAAATTATGACAATTGACAAATGCGAAAATTTGTGGGGATTTTTTTAGTGAATTCCCCTAAATTTGAAAATTAACTAATTAAAACATAACCGAGTGTTGCACAACAAAATTTTCTTTAACCAGCTATTATTAATTAATTCGTGATTTATTAATCTGTTGTTCAACAGACTTTTATACAACTGGGCCTAAGCTAATCCAATTAAAAAGTTTGAAATCCAAAAATTAAAAAAACTCAACTCGCCACTAGAGACTGACGTTTTCGCGGATGACGTCGACGATCGGCAACGTTGCACGGCGGACAACAAATTTGCGATCAAGTTTGCCGTAAACCGTCGCCGCATTCAACTGTTTTCCGAACGCCAGTCTCTCCCGAAACGTGTAGAAGCGCAGTTCTTCTGTCCACGGCCACCACATACACGTGACTTTTGCGTCTTTGATCGCGTTCCGACGAGTGATTCAAAAAAAAAAATTTGATAGAGTTTTGTTTTTTGGGGTTTTTATTTTTCGTGGAAATATGTACAAGGTGTTTTTGCAGTTGAAAAGCAGTTTTGCGCTTTTTTCAGCACTATTTATTACATGTAAGTTTTTTATTGTTTTTATTAAATTTATGTAGGGATTTAATTTGATTTTTAAAATTAAATAATATTGTTATATTTTATTTTTTAATTTACTAACTTTCTCTACTGTTTATGTAAAATACATTTATTAAAACTAGTAGAAATTTTGATACAATAATATTATTTTTTATTAAATAATCTAAAAATAAAGTTTATTAAAAAAACCTAAAATGTTTAAGATACCTTAGGGCTTCTATTATCCTTTCTATAGGATTTTTTATCCTTCCCCAATATTAACTTGCATGGAAAAAAAATCTTTATAACTTTTGATTTGAAAAGTTTAAATAATGGGCCATCCAAAAAATGTCTTTAGGACCTTATTTTAACTTATACCTACTGAATTTTTAACAATTTTGCCATTTGTTATCATTTATATTTGAACAACTACCTAATGGAAATGTTTACGTTAAAATTTGTTAATCGAATTTACGTGTTCGATTTTGACTTTATTATAAAGGTAAAAATAATTGTGCAATGTATACCGTCAAATTTTAATTGAATCAATTAAGTACTGAAAATTTGATGGGCTAAAAGCTTGTTTAATTGTTAAATAATCGTTAACCATGTCAGGAAAAACTGTTAAAAGTTAATAAAGCACCATACAAATATTTGCATTTCTCATTTAAAAAGTGCTCGACTGAAACTCTACATGTATAAAAACATCACTAATTAAATTAATTTTAAAATTAAATATTGAATATTTTTTCTCTAAAAATTCTGTTTATTATACATGGTAAAAATAAAAGAAAAAGTTTCTTGGTGTGCATGCTCTTGATACCAAGTCATATAGAATTGTATTTAAAATCGAGAATTCAACAAAAAAGTTAAAACTTTGCAGCGTTTATTTTACATTTAATTTTATGATTATTATTATTATTATTATTATTATTATTGTTGGGATGATTTATATGAAGTTTTATCAAAAAGACCATTTTCCATTTCCTTCTTTCGAGCACTTTCTACCAATACTTAAATCTTGAATTTATGGCATGAGATTTTTATATAACATTTTTCTGCTTTAAAAATAAAAAAAAGTATGCTATTCCCGTAACTATTTATAAAAAACAATGACCGGCGTAAACCATTAAATTAAAATAAATAATTCGTGACAATCAACTTTAAATTAACAATTGACGTGCGAACTAAGTGTATTGTAACCCTGGCAACCGTTCTTACCTTTAACATTAACTTGTTAAAAATTAATTAAAAAAATTTAAGTAAGGTAATTACAGTTGTTTACATTATATATAATGGAGAATTTAAAAAAAAACAACCTATAAACAAAAAATATCGACGAATAATTATGAGCATTTAATTATTTAGGTGTTTATGTCTAATAATGTAAAAATACATGCGTTACAGAGATGACGAAAAAACTAAAAACGTTTATTACAAATCCATTTTACCAGCTGCCATATTTTTTAATCAAATTGTTTACTGGTTTATACTCCCGCAGAAAAAAACAACTGGTTCTAGAAATAATTAATCGACTCAATGAATATTCAATCAAATCATTGTTAATTCCTTGTTGCATATGTATAAGAAATTAAACGGGCGGCCATGTTGGATTGCTGCACACTCAATTGTTTATTATTATAAACCCAATTGGCAAATGCATATAATATACTGTACAATATTGTACAAAGTTAGTCCGATGTTGGCCCCCTGTATACCTTTGTTAATATGGGTTTTAAAGAAAAAAGTTTTTTCACAAAAAATGTGGAAAATTATATTTTTTACAAAAATGTTATCAAATTTTGTTTGATTAAATTACCAGAAATTGAGATATTTACAAAACAAACTTACTTAATATGTACAGTTAGTCCAAAGTAGACAAACTGGTATATCTTTGTTAATATGTGTTTTATAGAAAAAAGTTTTAAACAAAAAATGTTGGAGATGCAATTTACTACAAAAAATGTTTTAACAACTTTTTTGATAAAATCATTAGAAATTGAGATTTTTATAAAACAATCATCATATGCCCGAAAATAAAATATCATTCGGTTCGCTTAATACCTATTTAGATCCTATTGACATCTGTACGAGTTCTATATCGATTTCGTTTTCCTAGCAAATTGAATTTGTATTAAATTAACTCTCAACTTTAATTATATTAAGGGATTTTTACGTACAGGGGAAGTTTTTAATCAAGTTAAGTAAAACAGTGTCTATAAAGATGAAATTCTTATATTTTGAGCTACCTATATATGTTTTTCAATGGTGTGCCTGATGTTTTGACATATACAGAGTTGGTCCAAATTTAATTGACCCCCTGTCGACAATCTGGTATATCTTTGTTAAAATGGGTTTTATAGAAAAAAGTTTTTTACAAAAAATGTGGAGAATTATATTTTCTACAAAAATATTATCAAAACTTTTTTGATAAAATTACCAGAAATTGGGATATTTACAAAACAAACTTACTTAAGTTGTTCCAAAATAGACAAACTAGTATATCTTTGTTAATATGCGTTTTATAGAAACAAGTTTTAAACAAAAAATGTAGGGAATAATAAAAATGTTAATACGACTTTTTCTATTAAAACACCATAAATTGGGATATTTACAAAACAATCATTATTTGCCCGAAAATAAAAAATCATTCGGTAAAAATGGAATTACAATATTGGCCTGATGTTTCTATTTTAACTTAAAGCTACTTTTTTCCGTCGGCAAAGTATTCTATTATAAAGCTAAAAATTAATTGAAGAAATTGAAGTACTTTTCCGGGGTTATCCTTTAAAAGCGGTTATCCTTGTTAATATCTTCCTGCTTAATTAAAAATTAACATGAAAATGAACCAGTTCGTGCTCTTTGAATAACAAAATAAGAGGGAAGTAAAGAAAAAAAAGCATAGGTTCTATGTACTTTAAGTCTTAAAGTGAATATTTTTTTATAAATTAGTTCGTGTTGTCCGACATAAAAAATAAACAACACCTCTTGAATGGTTTTGTAATTTAAAAAACCCTAAGGAAAAGTATAATTATGTTGGTTAGGTAATAAAAAATTATTGTTTACTATAAACATCAGGTGTATTATTAAATCTATAAATACACAATCGTAGAATAATAATTATTGACAAATCTGACCCAAAAACTAGAAAAAATTATTTAAATTCTAAGATAACATAAATATTATTTCCTTATGTTGTGGTTTCTTTAAATTTTGGAACAAAGGTGTGTCAGTGACGTGACATCTTTCTAAAATTAAAATCTAATTTTAGAAACAAATTCTAAATTAAGAAAGCTCGACAAGGTTTAAAAACATATTTTTGTTTAAAATGTCAAAAAGTTATGGGTAATTATGTCATTAGGCCAAGAAGTGAGTCTGTTTGTGCTTATTTCAAAGTTTGAGTGAAGCCCTAAAAGATTTTCTTTACCGAATGACATACAAGATGTTATCTTAATTTGTTAAACGATTAATGAAACTGTTAAAAAATTATTAAAGGTAAAAAGTAAGGTTAGATAGATCTGACACGTATCGAATTTTATGATTGGTCCAACTATCCTCATAAAGTAGTTTGCTTGGTTTATAATCAATCACTTTAGTAACGAATGTATGTATAGACTGATTGAAGATAAACTATTTTATTTACTTTATACAGTACATATGTACCCTGATAAGATTACCATTTTGTTTTATTATTTGGCATTGAATTTTTTTATTATCGTTTTAATTTTGCCTTAAAAAGCATATTTTTTGGGTAATTGACATTGAAATTGCCCGAATTAATGCTAAAAATTTACTCTTAAACATTTTAAATTGCTATTTTTTCTTGTTCCCCAAGTCTACTCTGTTGTATTTACTCTCTAAACAAGAATTGTCAATTTTGCATATAATATGGAATTGACTATATCTCAAAAACTGCTCCACTTTCATTTTTAGATTCAGGTGACAATTTTACATAAGAATTGGATGTTAAATTTTGTGATACCATGGTATTCCATGGTTAACCATGGTACAGGTGAAAAAGCAGCCTCTATATTATAATAACTATTAAATTAGTAATGTTTGACTAATTCATTTTTAAAGAGTAGGTTAATTATGTGTTAATTTTTTTGTTAAGGAAATTGATTAATAAAGCTCCTTTATTAATGCAACATTTTTTTATCAAAATTCTTTTCATTTAGGTTCCCAATTTCCAACTAATTCTTTTGTTACTGGGTCTACAAAAAGGTTTGTAAAAAAGGTCCTTTTTGAATATTACAAGAATTATAGTTAAATTATTGACATAGAATTTTGTTATTAAATGTACACAAAATGTCTGTTATAATTACAAACTATAGTTATTCAATTACTTAACAGATTACAGTTCATTGTAAACTTAACATATACATAAAGTTATGTGGACCCGGATTAACATAAAATCTGGTTAATATTTGGTTAATATTAACAAATATTTTTTTACTGTGTATGATACCGGTTTTTTGTTGGTAATATTTCGATGAATTAATGTTTATGGGATATAAATATTTTTGCAGTGTTGCACATTTTTTTTAGATACTTGATATTGCAAATTTTGTTTAGTTTTTATTTATATCGACGTAAATAAATTGATGTGTTTGCAGATTATATTATGCCTTATTTTGGGCTAAAATACTGAAATAACTGTCTATGGTATTGGGAATTCTATTAACCCCTTCAGACCTGGCGTACATTCACATGTACATTAGCTTTTTAGTAATTTAATTACTATCAATAGGCACTAAATTTCATTTAGAACCTAGTTCTCACCCCCAAGTACATTTGTTTTGGTAAACTAAGGTACATTTTGCGACTTCTCTTATTTGAACTGCCCCTTTTGATTGAAAATTCTCTCATATAATGGAGATGCGCATAATGACAGCAACAACTCGTTGACGACAGTTTGTCTTAGCGGGTCTTTAGATGATTTATAAAGATATTTTTTAAGTATAAACTGGTGTAGTTTGTTCCTAAAGGTATATACTAAGACATGT